CCACCCCACCCCACCCCACCCCACCCCTTTTCTTCTGCATGTGTCAGGGTATTTTTAAGTCTTCCCAGAGACATTGGGTGGTGCCAGTGCTCCCGCTGGGACCAAAACTGGAAGTTCCTAGATAGAGGGTCTTGTCCCTCCACTCAAGATCTGACCAAACACCATATTTGAGGTCAGGAAGGAATTTTTCGCCATGGTCAAATTAGTATGCACTGTGGGGGTTTTTACCTTCCTCTGTAACAGGGGGCATGGCCCTCTATCTGGGATATTTTGAGAATATATTGACATTTTATAGAAGCAAGACATTGGCTGCCATGGTTCCCCTGCTTTTCCGGCAGGTTACGGTATTAGGTCTATGTTGTGTCAGGGTTGATGGTAGTCTTATGTTTATATAGGGATGATCCTGCCTCAGGCAGGGGGTTAGACTAGATAATCTCTGGAGATCCCTTCCAGCCATACTTCTCTATGATTCTGTGATTCTATGAACTTTGGTCTTCCTTGGTTTTGTTAGAGGACTTTTGAATGGTTCAGAAGATGTGTATTGCTAGCTCTCCCCGCTTAATTGAAGGGGAAGGTGCATTGAATCTTTAGCAAAGATTGCTTTTGTCCAGCCTTTTCTTTAGTCCTTAAAGCATTTGGAACAAAACAGTTTTGAACAGTCTCACTGAAAATCTTTTTCCTCCTGTTGTTAAGGTTTCAGTCTTTTCACTCTTGTGAACATGATGTCCTCATTTTTCATGTTCTCCAGTCTTCAGAGTATCTTTCAGGCTAGACAGGACCTGGAGTTGTTATGTTAAAAACAAGTAGAAACAATGAAAAAACTGACTTACATTATAAACTCTGAAGACAGAAGCAAGCAAATCTCGTTTTTTTCCTTTTTGCAGGTCACCTTTACAATAATATATGAATCAGGAAAAAATGTCAAGTGTTTTAACAGAATTTCACTGCAGATGACTTTAAAAAATAAATGCTTTTAGTCTGAAGTAAAAATACTGTCAGTCCTGGTGTGAAAAAAAAAAAAGAAAAAAAAAGAAGAAAAAATTACAAGCATAGTCCCAATTGTGAAACAGATTGGTTTAGGGGATTGCCAGTGGTTTATGGAGCTTTTCACCTTTCAGTTATATGTTTATAATAGTTGGGGTCTTTAATGAGTGGAAATCATTATCATCTGTTGCTTTTTCTACTGTATATCTAAAAGAAGCTATCCTGCTTACCATATCAGTAAGTTGTTCAAAGATGAAAATGACACAAGACCTACTTTTAAGAGGGCCAAGCTCTCACTGAATTGAGTAGGAGCTGTACAAACCTAACACCTGGAAATCAGTCCCCAGATTATCCTCTGGCATCTGGAGGTAGCTCCTTGCAATCAGAGAGGTGGCATAAGCACCAGGTCAAGATGAAGAAGTCTGCATAAACAGAGGACTTCTGTCTCCAGAGCTTGACACAATTTTACTTTCCACAAACAGTAAACTCACTTGAAAAAATTACAGCAAAGTGACGTTAATTATGAACTAAAGAAAATGTTTTTCCATTGTGGCTAAATCTAAATATGAATTATGGCAAGGATCAAATATTCAAGGACTCAATTTTGTTCATCAGTACCTTCACATTTCACTTTAACTGAAATCACTACTTTCATTAGGAGTTAAAATATGGGCACCTGAGAGGAGATTTTTGCCTTCTTATTTCTTACATCGCTTTGCTCACATTTAATATAATCAAACAAACTGAAATAAAACTTTCAGGCATTTTTCTAGTATCACTGTTAAATAAATTGATTTAAATCAGTGTTGGAGTCTTCCTGTAAGACACCTGCCAAGTTTATTTAAAGAAACAGACCTAAATCTTTATAAATCTATAACTTACTCATAAAGCATATTTGCATCTAATTTCACAAGTATTTGTAATGTCTTGTTCATTGCAAAGGATTCTAATGATGTTTTAAAAAATATTTCAGCATTTTTGTTTAAATCTTTTTTTTTTAGGAAAACCAAGGACACCATATTTTAGAAAGAGTGAAAAATCAAACACTATAAACTGCATATCTGAAGGGTACCCTCAACCAGTTTTGGAGTGGTTATTTTGCAAAACACCTGATAATAGGTATGGTATATGTAATCCTACCTTTTTTGCTGAATGTTAAGACTTAAGGATAGACATCTTCCTAAGAAGAGAGTCTTTGTCCTGAGTAGTGTATTTATTTTTGGCATGACTGAACTGTGTAGAACTGTGTGGTCAGATTTTTAAATGGAAACACATGGATGCTTCCCTAAATTGGATAAATTCAGTGTGCTTAAAAACCTATACATACATGCACAAATTGAGGACTATGTTGCCTGAACTCACACTTTCCTATGTGCTGGAATGTATTATTCTTGGGAAGGTTGACCTTTATATCCTTAGGGAAACTTTAGGGTAATTTGTTTTAAATGTTTTAGCTTGGTATTTTCACTTGATATAACTAATGAGTTTAATATATTTCTAACCAGCTATTTTCCATTTATTTTATTCTCTTGGAAGTGGTTGTGATTGAGAAATACTGTATACCCAATTTACCCTCTCATACTGCTACATATGTAAGATATCCTAACAGTAATGTGAATACGTTTAAAGAAACATAAGGTCATGGGTAACAGAAATCAACAGTCTATTTTCATAAAGGAGGCATGTAGTCATTACAGTGTACTCATCTCTTTTCTTCTGGTGTCTGGATCATCTATGGGTTTATTAGTCTCCAACACACCTGCACCTTGTGTCACAGACAGTACAGGCTCATGGTTGTAGGTTTTGGGCTGAGTTCTCATTGAGACAAGCTGAGATGTAGGGTGAAACGCTGGCCTTACAGACTTTGCCATTGACTTCACTGTATCAAGGGTTTCACTGTAAAGTGATGAATGCTTTACCTCTTTTGGAATAAAGAGAATAGATGCCCTCAGGTAATACAAGCACATTCTTTTTACCTCACACCTTCCCTAGCTCTCCTGAACTTTTTTGTTTGTCTTCTGATCTCCACATTGCCTAGTTCCTTTTATTTTACTACATAATGTCCTAGTTTTCCTAGTATTGCTAATATTGCCTCATGGCTTGCCTATCTGCTTGAAAGTAACCCAATGATTCAGTAAACACTTTGATTTGTAATTACAGTTGTACCAATAAATATCATGAACAAAGTAAGAAAAAAGGGGACATGTATGGAATGAAGAAAGTACAACATGGATTATGGGCAAATACATTATTTCAAACATATATATGGTGCTGTGCAACCAATGTGCTGGGCAGAGAATGCACCAACCTGTATACAATAGGTAATCCAACTCTAAGATTGATTTTCATTGAAGTTAATTGTATGGTTTACCTAAGTAAGGTTTGGTAATGTGTTTTTCAATACTGAAATCAATGGCACATGACTGGGTAAAACTATAATGCTGTGTTACTTCCAACTCAGATATTTAACTCTTAAATTCTAAAGGTTGTTTGTAGCCTGTTAATAAAGAATTGTCTTGTGTTACTTTACACTTTATAAATAACTTAATCACACAAAGCTTTAGCATGGACTTATGACAAAATACATGTTACATAATTTATTAATTATTATTATTATTATTGTTTTTTCTGTAATTGACTTTATATTCTGGGCTGAATTGCCATAGAGTAACTACAGAAGGGGAGGAATGCCCTGGTCACCGTCCTTGAGGGGGACCCAAAAATTGCCACTGCACAACAGCAGCTGATCTTGCTTCTGCCACCAGTAACTCATGTTGTCCCATATGCAACTGCTGCCCCGGCACAGATCTGCCTTGCTATGCCTCTGCTGAATTACATCTTGTATGGATGCAGTTTTATGGGGGGGTGGGGGTGGGGTTGTAACTCAGGACAAAATTTGACTCGATCTTTTAAAATATGAGACCTTTTTAATCATTCCAGGGTTAATTCTAAGCCTGGAAAAATAATCTTAATACCAATACAGTAATGGACTACAAATTAATGGCTGCTTAAAGTGAAAATAGAGTGATGCAGGAGAACACAATCTAAACTATATTTTATATAGGAAGAGTGATTTCACTTGTTCACTGGGTATGCTTTCATTTTGTAGATCTAAATGAAGTACTTGAAAGACCTGTACCTGAACTCCTTCTTAAAGTTGGCGAACCATTATTGATAAGATGTAAAGCGGTTTATAGTAGCTATAAATTCAAAATTAACTGGAGTCTTGAAAACAAAGCATTAAAGCAGGTAATAAGAGAGAATTATTTTCACACAGTTAATAATTGGAAGTATCAAATTATATTAAAGCTGCACATTTTTATTAAAAATTAGGGATCTTCCTTTGAGGAAAAAAAATACCAGGAAGACTCATCTATGACTCGGATACAGTATGCATTTGCTTCATCGGTGGGAAGAAGTGAAAGTGGACATTACACCTGTTCTTCCACAGAACATCCAAATAAGACAGCTTTGGTAACTGTTTTAGGTAATTTAGATTCACGTTGTTCTTTTTTTTTCTTTATTATTTTTCTCTCATTTGATTGCTTGCACATTTGTAACATCATATATATAATTATTTCTAAAACTCCCATTTCTGCTTGCTATTATTTTAAGGAAGCCAGAAATGATTTGTTCAACTGGGTAGACCTGTGCTTTTCTGACTCTGGGACTCTGTCCCCTACTTATGTATTTGAAATATTTGTATACACAAAATGTTCAGATATATGAGATCTGTAGTATGAAGTAGCTCCAGAAAGAAAAATAAACCTAAACCTGTAAATAATACACAATAAGCCAGAAACATTATAATAATATTACCAAACCTTGTACAAAAAGGTTGTGTATTCATAAGTATTTGCCTTTTTTGTATTTAGAATCATAGAACCATAGAAAATTAGGGTTGAAGGGACCTCAGGAGATCATCTAGTCCAACCCCCTGCTCAAAGCAGGACCATCCCCAACTAGATCATCCCAGCCAAAGTTCTGCCTAGCCGGGTCTTAAAAACTTCCAAGGGTGGAGATTCCACCACGTCGCAGGGCACTTAGGTGCCTGCTCCTAAAAGAGCAGAAACTGCCTGGGAACAGCCCAAAGAGCCAGACAGGATCCCAGGTGCAGGTTGTCATGGCAACTAGCTAATGAGGAAATTAGCCTGCACCAGCACCTGGTCAGCTGGCCAGAAGGGGCAGGGCCCTGGGCCCATATAAACCCCAGGACGGGGACTAGGAGGCAGTTCTCTGCTGGTGGCCAAGGGAGAAGGAGCCCTCCTGAAGCATGTGAAGGGAAGAGGCCTGACTAAGTTCTGCTCCGGGTAATGTAGAGGGGCTGAACACACCTTATGTAGCTTGTGTTATGTTATAGCCCAGGGGCTTATGTTTTGTTTGCCATTTTATAAGACCGGTGGTTTGGGTGAGGCTATTTGGGGGAAGGGGAGGCCTCATGGGGCCTCCTGTGGCATGGGGACCCTGGCACCAGAGAGGGCACAGCATCTGGGGTGCATAGACCCCAGCGCCAGAGAGGGCACAGCACTTTGCAGGGCACAGAGCCCAGCACCGAGGGGCACAGAGACATGGGCTGCGGAGAGCCCAGTGAGGACAAGGGGCTGAATTATAATGAAGCCTGGGCACGACAATGCCAGTACCATCTGTGAGGCTTGGGGCATGGTAAAGGGACGGTTAGAGCCATACATATAGCCCATAAGGCTAGGGTGCCCTGGAACGCCCATTGTAAAACGGGACCCACAAGGGGTCCAGGAACCCACGGAGTCAGAGAGTCATCAAACTGTGTCCAAGAGGACTTAAAGGCAGCCTCCCTATTTTCATATTTCCAGCAAAGACGTGGCAGGCGAGAACTGAGGGTGCCCAGCGGGCCAAACTGACACAGTTGAGGGTCCTTAGAGATCACGGCCATCCTTAAGGACCCCGTCACGTGACACACCACCTCTCTGGAAACCTGTTCCAGTGCTTTATTAACCTTCCAGTAAGATTTCCCCCCCCCTAATATTTAACCTATACTTCCCTTGATGCAACTTGAGACCATTGCTCCTTGTTCTGTCATCTGCCACCACTGAGAACAGTCTAGCTCCATCTTCTTTCAAACCCTGCTTCAGGTAGTTGAAGGCTGCTATTAAATCCCCTCTCAGTCTTCTCTTCTTCAAACTAAATGAGCCCAGTTCCCACAGCCTCCCCTCATAAGTCATGTGTCCCAGCCCCCAAACCATTTTGTTGCCTTCAGTTGGACTCTCTCCAATTTGTCCATATCCTTTCTGTAGTGGGGGGGGGGCCCAAAACTGAATATAGTACTCCAGATGTGGCCTCACCAGTGCTGAATAGAGCGGAATAATCACTTTTCTTGACCTGCTGGGAACACTCCTATCAATGTAGTCCAGTATGCTGTTAGCCTTCCTTGCAACAAGGGCACACTGTTGGCTCATATTCAGTTTATTGTCTACTGTAACCCCCAGGTCCTTTTCTGCAGAGCCCCTGTGCAGCCAGTCAGCCCCCAGCCTGTATCGGTGCATGGGATTGTTCCATCCTAAGTGCAGGACTTTGCACTTGTCCTTGTTGAACCTCATGTGATTTCTTTTGACCCAATCCTCCAATTTGTCTAGGTCACTCTGAATCTTAGCCCTCCCCACAGCTTGGTATCACATGCAAACTTGCTTACAGTGCACTCTATGCCATCTTCCAGGTCATTGATAAAGACACTGATCAGAACTGGCCCCAGGACCAACCCCTAGAGCACTCCACTTAATACTGGCTGTCAACTAGACATTGAGCCATTGACTACTACACTCTGAGCCCAGTGCTTCAGCCAGTTTTCTATCCACCTTACAGTCCATTTATCCAGCCTGTACTCCTTTAACTTGCCTGTGAGAACGTTGTGTGACACCGTATCAAAAGTCTTGTGATAATCAAGTTACGCCATATTAACCCCTAGAGCACTCCACTTAATACTGGCTGTCAACTAGACATTGAGCCATTGACTACTACACTCTGAGCCCAGTGCTTCAGCCAGTTTTCTATCCACCTTACAGTCCATTTATCCAGCCTGTACTCCTTTAACTTGCCTGTGAGAACGTTGTGTGACACCGTATCAAAAGTCTTGTGATAATCAAGTTACGCCATATTCACAGAGCCAGTTAACTCATCATAGAAGGCAATCAGGTTGGTCAGGTATGACTTGCTCCTGAGGAATCCATGCTGACTGTTCCTAATCACCTTCATCTCCAAGTGCTTAGAAATGGATTCCTTGAGGATCTGCCCCATGATTTTTTTTTAGGGACTGAGGTGAGGTTAATTGGTCTGTAGTTTCCTGGATCCTCCTTTTTCAAATATGGGCGCTATGTTTGCCCTTTTTCAATCATCCAAGACCTTTTCTGATCACCATGATTTTTCAAAGTTGATGGCCAGTGGCTCTGCAGTCTCATCAGCCAACTCCCTCAGCACCTTGGGTGCATCCCGTCTGGCTCTAGGGACTTGTATATGTCCAGCTTTTCTGTGTAGTCCCTAACTTGTTTCACCACTGTTGGCTGTTCACCTCCTCCCTAAACTGTGCTGTCTGGTACAGTAGTCTGGGAGCTGACCTTACCTGTGAAGACTGAGGTGAAGAAGGCACTGAGCACTTCAGCCTTTTCTGCATCCTCTATCACAAGGTTGCCTCCCCCATTCAGTCAGGGACCCACGCTTTCCCTGATCCTCCTCTTGCTACCGACATAGTTGTTACTGACATACTTATTTCTGGTAACCAGGTTGGGAGCATGGATATAAATGTGATTCAGATAAGTGATAGTCTACTCTTCCTGCAGGTAACCTATTCTCAAACCTTCTCCCAAGGTATTTACATTAATCCTTGAGAATTCTCCATAAAAGAGAACCTGTGTACAGGACCTCCACCTGACACAGGAGGTACACGGTCCCACTAGGGGGAATGCCTTACTGGATCTGGTATTGGCAATGGGGGATGACATGGTAGGGGACCTACAGATCGGTAGCCATCTGGGGGACAGTGATCACCTAATAATAGAATTCTTCATAAGATGTCGAGTGGGTAAGGTAACTAGTAGGGTGAAAGTGCTAGACTTTAGGAAAGCTGATTTAAGTGAACTCAGGCTATTAGTCAAGGACGCACTGCAGAGTAGGAGTTTTGAAGCGATGGGAGCCCAAGAAGGGTGGCTGTGCCTTAAGGAAATGATCCTTCGAGCACAAAGGGAGACGATCCCGATGTGAGGAAAAAGAGGGAAAGGGGCCAGGAGGCTTCCTTGGCTGACCAGAGAAATCCAGGGCAGCCTAAGGGCCAAAAGGAGAGCACATAAAAAGTGGAAACAGGGAGAGATTACCAAAGACGAATATACCTCCTCTGCTCACGCTTGTAGGGAGGCAGTTAGATAGGCCAAAGCTACCATGGAGCTGAGGATGGCATCCCAAGTAAAGGACAACAAGAAATTGTTCTTTAGATATATAGGGAGTAAAAGGAAGGCCCAGGGAGGAATAGGACCCCTGCTAAATGGGCAGAAGCAATTGGTGACAGACAGGGGGGACAAGGCTGAACTCCTCAATGAGTTCTTTGCCTCAGTGTTCCTAAGAGAGGGGCACGACAAGTCTCTCACTGGGGTTGTAGAGAGGCAGCAGCAAGGC